TGTCACCACTGTCGAGGAACGCCACTAGAAGACAGTAGTAAACATCATCGTCCAGAACAATTGTATCGTCTTCTCTCTTATAGTTTGCAACAGGGCTGAAAATACTGGTTGTCTTGAGTTGACCAGTTGCAGTTGTTTCGACAAATTGAAAGGGCAATGGAGGATCTTGTGCAAAATAAGTAGCCTTCACTGCGGGGTTCTCAACAGCATAGTACATGTTCTCGTCGAGCCTGGCCAGATAGAAAGGTGATGGCTGTATTGGAGGCTGGCTAACCTTCCTTACACAAACAATGGCACCTTCACAAATTGCCACTTCTATTTATTGCCACTTCTGTCTGTGCAAGTCTTGCAAAATCAACCGGCTTTGGATCGCCCGTTTTGGTTTCATAACAGTTCATGGGCAAATAGTACTATTTAAACGTTGTCCAACTTTGACAATCACATCCGTTTTAGTCGACAAAGAGAGGTGATCACAATTTAAAAACCAACAAACACCATCAGCTACATTTACCATTGCACTGTACACAAGGATTTTGGTTGATAAGATTCGATAATTCGCAAGGTATTTCATGGTCACTTACAAAACCAATTAATTTAGGGGTTTGTTGAATCTGCGTTATTTGATCTTACTTGAGTCCTGACAGAAGACGCAGGACCAAATAAACAGAACTGGTGACTAACCAACAGCTTTTTAATTTAATTTTTTTGGAGGGGTAGTTAACCCCGCATTCCATCGTTAACTACCCCGTAGTTAACTACTACTGTCTTCTAGTGGCGTTCCTCGACAGTGGTGACACTAGGACTCTTACTGAGATACGGGATAGTTAACCCCGCATTCCTTTCATATTTTAATTTCACTCTGTTACAGCTGCCAAAAATAACTTTTGTCCTAGGAAACACAGTTATGGAACCCGGATCATTTTCTATTTAGAGCCATGAACGTGATCAACAAAACTGCAGTGCGATGTCTAAGACGAACCACAGATCTAGACAGTAATTCAGAAAAAACCGCGCATTAGTTTTCGGTGAACGTAAGAGAAACCTGATCTTTGTCGATTTTTGTCCCGTTTCTGAAAGAAGAGGTAAGCAAAACCAACGAAGTAAAGATAACCGACGTTGAAATCGTGCTTTATATCAATGAAATGACCTGGAAAGACGACCTTCATGCTTCAACAGACACATTAGACTTCCTGTTTTCGATTCACTGATTGGGGACTGTCCGGTTGTCTGTGTTTTATGCAAATGCAGCTCACAACGGCTGTTGAACGTTTTATAGAAAACGTCATACCATCATGAGTACAGAGATAACAAGGAAAGACATCCTGATGTTGCTTCCATTAACCGCTTTGAGTCTAGCTGATCCCATCACAGACATCCTCTCATTGATGGAAGTTTACAGTGCAGGCCACAAGATTTGGTTTGCAGTAGGACTGATTTTTTTGATTTTACCTTGCTTCGCGTTTTCTGCTATGTTCTATGGGACTAGTAAAGAAAGTACCATGAGATGCATGTTTGATTGTGCGTGTCTTTGCGGATTTCATCCGTTCTCAGCTGCTGTACAGAGACTGGAAGCTTTCATTGTCTGCAGCAGGAAGAAACTCTGGCGTGGCGAAGCAATCGAGGAGGGCTCCCACGAATTTGAAGTTCTGGACGCCTCCAAAATGTCTGCGTTGTTTGAAGCCATCTTTGAGTCAGCTCCACAATTTGTAATCCAGCTCTATGTCGTGAGTGTTCAACAGGAACCGGTGAGCATCATTCAAATGATTTCTTTACCAGTTTCATTTGTAAGTTTGGTTTGGTCTTTTAAAGCTGCGGATGAGGACGAAATAATAAACATACCCGTGAAATACAAGATTCTGCACTTTCTAACACACTTACTTCTTCTGAGCGCTCGACTGTCTGCAATCACATACTTTGTCGTGGTCTACAAGTGGTTCATCATAGGCGTCTTTATCATTCATTTCATTATCCTACGGATTATGCACTGCATTTGGCCATACACCGAGGATACTAGTAACGATTCTACTTGCGAAAAGGTGTTTAAATGGTATTTTATTTTTGGTATATCCTGGATAGGATACGAGACTTTTGATACAGATGACAATGAAACAGAGACCGCCATGAAACACCTGAAAATAATTGAGGTGTGTTCCTACATTTTTCTAGTGCTGGAAAACTTTGCTATGATCTTGCTGTACTATATCCCCTTTAAATATTTGCACCCCTGGTACTCACTACCACTTACAGTGTGTGTATGTTTATTCAGCTTTTTCGGTGTTGTTTTCAGATTTACTGTTGCTCACTTATTTATATTCAACGATGGTGCTGTCCATCCCCAATAATCGTTCATCAACTACAGTCAGTCGACCACAGCTACAATTAAGCACGTATTTTAGGATATGTTTAGGATCTATTTGATATTTGTTCAATTGGCATTGTTTTCATTTAATATTTACTCAAGCGACATTTATTCATATTTGATTAACTCAGTATTTCATTCGTTCAGGAAGTTCCCCTGCCATCGATAGAACTTTTTATGACGGGACATACTCCCTGATATTCTTTCAGTACTTCGGTTTGCTTGTAGGAGAGGATTTTCCTATTTCCATTATTGTGGGTTCGTTTTTGGGGAATAAAATATATCGGTGGTATTTACTAAACCTTAGTAGTGTGTAAACAACTGTTAAGGAATCATTTTCGGGACTTATCGTGAAAATTATCAAAAGGTTAATAAACCACCAGGAAAAGAAATATGTTCTTTTAAGAAATGTTCGGAGCTCCGTTCTATGTTAAACTGAACCGGCAATCACAGGTTAAACAAAAAGAAAATATCGAAAAGGTGCTAATAGCTTTTGAAGGAAACTCGTTTGTGGTTTATTTACTTTAGGATAATTGATATTTACTCAGTGTACTCTTATCTAGACTATGAGTGTTTCGTGTGTTCATCGTCGCTAACTGTGTTTCAACAGCTTTTCTTTATGTATTTCCGTCAGTTTTGTCTTAGAGAAGATTTTACAGCACCAGAACCATGTTAGAACTGTTCATATGAATGTTCTGGAATTTGGATTATTTTAACTTTATAATTAGTTAACGATTTCGTAATGTCTTCGGACGACCTACGCTTAACCTCACTCTTACGGCTAAACTCTAAGAAACGACTTAACTGGACATATTCTCCCAACACGTATTTCTTCCATCTTTATTGAGGTCTACTTTAATCTGTGAATCAGGACAAACAACAAAACTTCAACGAACTCTATTTCCGTTGGCATTTACGTTACTTTCATTTAGGAAACAAACATTAGCTAACATTATAATATTACATCCGAAAACGTGATTACAGCTGGCGTGCCTCGTGAGAAGCAATGTCCTTAAAGATAAAATTTTATTTTAGGTTGAATCAAGGTCACACATTTATGCACAATGAGGTGTTTTCTGAAACTTATTGAAATGACTTGCTGACCTCTACATTTCTAATACCTCCGAGGTCCATTTGTTCTCAATCCGTGGGGATACACACAAATTTACATGCTCTTTCAGTCTAAACCTTAATTCACTTTTCATCAGGACCTACACCAAGATCATAGTTATTTTTCTGTCTGTTTATTTTCTTTTTTTGAGCATTCCTTTGCATAGAAATCTCTTGGAATAGGAATTTTTTTGCAAAAGTAAACATACCAAGATATGATGATGAAATCTCTTATTTTGGGCAACTCTAACAGCTGAAGTCATCTTTTATGCATAACAAAGATACTTGATTTAGTTTTAGTAAATTAGGTTTCTCTGACATAAATATGAGTGCAACTTATAGAAACTTCCCTTGTAACTTGTGCCAACTTCACTGATAAAAAGACTTGTAAAACTTTGAAGACACTTGGAAGACTTAGAAAACCTCTATAAGCCTGACGAAGATATCCAATAAAGTCTACGCTGTTGTGAAACAAAATCTGCTTCGTGACAATAAGTTGTCACAGAATGACTTGCAGTAAATTCATAAGAAAAAGTTTATCTGAGTTCCAGGAACTTCTATTTGCACATTCTTAATCAATATTTTTCTTTGCACAGGGACCGCGGAGAGGGAGGGGCTGGTAGGGCTACAACCCTACCACTTTTTTTTTTTCTGGGATTTATTTTCTACGACTCCAGATGGCGCGCAAATGCAAGATAAATGGCGAAAGACTGTCCTTAACGTTTGTCTGTATTATCCAGATTTTTTAGCCCTATCACTTTAAAATAGTCTCTGCGGTCCCTGTTGCAGGAGACATCCTGGCACTGACTTGACAGATTTGCCGTGTATTCTGATTAAAATGCTTTTAGCAAGTCTCTTTCGGCTTTTTGCTGAATAGGCACGGAACGTTATGATTATATCTATCTTTTTATCTGGATTAAAGGAGCGATTGCAAAATGGGGCGTTGTCTCTTGTCAACACTGAGATGGTCTGACCATTTGCCATCATTTTATGGTCATAAATTTTAACACTTCTCTAAGGCACTGTTTACAAGCAGGTAGGGTAA